AGGAGGTCCAGCACGCCAGGCACCCCTGCGATGAATCGACAGGGGGCGGCGGACCATCTTGGAGGCCTCTTGGGTGCTGTTGGGGCGATGTTGGAGACCTCATGGGCCGTCTTGGGCCGTCGGAGAGCTGAAAAGAAGAACATGCCAAAATCCTTCAAAAACCTGAGGAGAATCAATGATTTTAACCTATTCGGGCCTTCCTGGAGGGCGTCTTGGAGGGCTCTTGGGCCGTCTTGGAGGCCTTTTGCCGGCCTTTTGGGCCGTCTTAGACCATCTTGAGGCCATCTTGGACCGTCTTGGGTGCATCTTGGAGCCATCTTACCCGTCTTGGAGGCCATCTTGGCCGTCTTGGAGGCATCTTGGAGGCCATCTTGGGCCATCTTGGCCGTCTTGGAGGCCATCTTGGGCGTCTTGGAGGCCTCTTGGGCCGTCTTGAGGCCCTCTTGGGGCCTTCTTGGGGGCCTCTTGGGCCGTCATGGGGCCATCTTGGAGGCCTCTTGGGTGCTGTTGGGGCGATGTTGGGGACCTCTTGGGCCGTCTTGGGCCGTCGGAGAGCTGAAAAGAAGAACATGCCAAAATCCTTCAAAAACCTAAGGAAAATCAATGATTTTAACCTATTCGGGCCTTCCTGGAGGGCGTCTTGGAGGGCTCTTGGGCCGTCTTGGAGGCCTTTTGCCGGCCTTTTGGGCCGTCTTAGACCATCTTGAGGCCATCTTGGGCCGTCTCGGGTGCATCTTGGAGCCATCTTACCCGTCTTGGAGGCCATCTTGGCCGTCTTGGAAGCATCTTGGAGCCCATCTTGGGCCATCTTGGCCGTCTTGGAGGCCATCTTGGGCCAAGTTGGGGCAACAAAGGCATTGACAGATGGATTTTCGGAAACTTGCGGGTGGCCGGCGGGACGGGCCGAAGCCCACTGAGGAGTTCTTTTAGAAGAAGAACCAAAACCAAAACCTGAAACATCCAGCACGCCGTGCACCCCTGTGGCAAGACCACAGGGGGCGGCGGATTCATTGGCCTTCGGCCCATCCCGCCACCGTACCTGCGTGATGGGTCAGAGGCCTCTTGACTGTTTGTTGGGATCTCGTGGTAGGCCTCTCGGGGGCTTCTTGGTGCAAGATTTGTAACCTTTTCGAAGCCGTTTTGGGGCCTCGAGTGGGGTTATTGGGGGGTTTGGGGGGCCCTCATGGGGCCTCCTTGGGCCCTCTCGGGAGGGGGACACTAATACGTTCGGTTCGCGCCCTCCCTCTCTTAGACCATCTTGGTGCCCTCTTGGGTTGTTTTGGGCTGCACTTGGACCGTCTTAGAGCCCTCTCGGGCGGTCCCCAGGCCGTCTCTGGGGCCTTCTGGGCGGGGCCGATCATGGGGGCCTCTTGGGCCGTCTTGGGGCGTCGGACAGCCGAAAAGGCAAGAGCGCCAAGAACTTTCAAACATCAAAAGGAAATCAATGAGTTGCTCCTGGGGCTGGGGCGTCTTGGAGGCTTCGCGTGCCGCCTGGAGGCCATCTTGGGCGTCTTGGAGCGATCGTTCGGCCATTCGCGGCTCTCTTGGAACGTCTTGGAGGCCTTTTGGGGCTCTCTTGGCCCGTTTTGGGGGCCATTTGGAAACTCCGGGGCCACCCCGGCGCGTTCAGGAGCATGACCCCCCATTGAAACGTTTTTTTGCCCCCCGGGGAGGGGGTCAGGGAGAGGGGGGCAGCCAAGTGTCTCATGCGTCTTTTCACCCCAGGCAACCAGGGGCCGGCGGATTCGACATCTTCTGCGGCAGGCACGACGACACCGAGGAGTACACCTCGAGGAAGATTGCACCGCAGGAGGAGCACGTCGAGCGCGCGGCCCCCCTGTTGAAAGTGGTCCACTAGTTGAAGGTAGCCGCAGCGAGCACGGAGGAGGAACCGGAGCCAGCGGCAGCGGATGCAGACACAGCGGAGCAGCGCCGGGTGGAGCTCGCTGCGTTTCTCGAGTCCTCGCAGGGCGCGTTCGACGGCCTGTGGACCGCGAGCCAGCACGCGCGCGCGGATCGCCGGCCCGCGGATGCACCTCCTGCTGCCGGCGAAGCCAGCGCCCACGGCGGCGTCTCCAGGGGCGGGGCAAGGGAGGGGGACCTTGCGGAAGACGACCATGTCTCTCGCGAACTCACAGGAGGAGCCCGGGTCCCCTGGCGGCGAGATTGGCGACGTGAGCGCCGACGAGGCGTCTGCCCACGCGGCCCATGAGGGCGCCCCCGGGGGTGGCCCAGCGAGCGGCCCTGGCATCCTGGTGTTGGAGGACGTGAAAGGGCTGGACTTCGGCTACGGGGCCGACGGGAGCAGCGTTCAAGACGGCCCCTTCCACGCCGCGGCCTCACTGACTGCAACATCATGCGGAGGACGCTGCTCGTAGGCACCCCGACCGTCACCATGCGCGCCGCATGCGAGCGGATGAAGTCATCGAGGAGGGGAGGCCAGCGGCCCAAGCACCTCCCAGAGCAGACGTGGCTGCGCGCGATGGAGGCTGGGCTGCAGGGGAGCCCTGCGGCGCGCCTGGAGGGTCGCGAGATCCATGTCGCGCGCGCCCCCGGGGGCCACGCGGACCGGGTGGCTTACCACAATGCTTTGATGCGCTTGCGCGCCCTCCCACTGCGAGACCTCGTGGAGGCCATGAAGAAGGCAAAGGAGAACAGCGATCGGAGGGAACGCGGTCGGGCAGAGGCAGTCCGCGCTCGCAGGCGCAGCCAGCGGAGGGAGTCATGAGTGCCCGGCCGGACCGGGGACCCGAGATGCGTAGAACGACATTCGCGCCCGCAGCCAAGCCTGCGCTGCCGCCGCTCTCCCCTGGGGCGGGCGCTGCAAAGTGTAAGCTTTGCGTGCGTGGGCAGGCGGCGAGGTATGTGCGCGCGGGTTTGCGTGGCGTCCTCGTAAGCAAGACTGCATTGGTGGCACGCGTACAGTATATGGTCAGGAACGGTCGGATTTCCCAGCGTCCTCGTAAGTAGGACTGCGTTCGTTGCACATGTGCAGTCACGGATCGTCGCGTCCGCTTTGAAAAAATGAAGGCCCCAGCAGTCATGGTTCGTTGGCGGTGCCCGCCTGTCAGCGCTACGATGTCGCCACATGTCAATCTTCTCGCCCGGATCTTACGGGGGCCCCTTTGGGGCGCTACGGGGGCCACCTTGGAGCGCCCCCGCTGGGCCTCCATCGGGCGATAGTGGGGCACTCATCACACAGAGCAATTAACTTGCATGTTAAGTGCGGGACGGTTCTAGGCGCGTGCCCCGCGGGTGCCTTCCAGGACCGCCCCCGGGTAGGAGCGCGCCCCGTGGGCGCCTTCTGCCGTCTTATGAACGTAGGTGCGCGAAGACTGTTGACCACGAGCGCAGGGGCAACAGCAGGGAGTGGCCAGAGGCAGCGGCAAAGCGCCGCCTGTCAGCGCTGCGATATCGCCCAATATCAATCCTCTCGCCCGGATCTAACGGGGGCCCCTGTGGGGCGCTACGAGGCCGCCTTGGAGCGCCCCCGTTGGGCCTCTATCGGGCGATAGTGGGGTACTCATCACGCAGAGCTATGTAAGCGCACGTTAAGCGTGGGACGGTTCTAGGCGTGTGCCCCGCGGGCGCCTTCCAGGACCGCCCCCCCGGGTAGGAACGCGCCCTTTGGGCGCCTTCTGTCGCCCCACGAACGTTGGCGCGCAAAGACTGTTGACCACGAGCGAGGAGAGCAGCAGAAGGGAGGGGCCAGAGGCAGCGGCAAAGCGCCGCCTGTCAGCGCTGCGACGTCGCTCAGCATCAATCTTCTCGCCCGGATCTAACGGGGGCCCCTTTGAGGCGCTAGGGGGGCCGCCTTGGAGCGCCCCCGTTGGGCCTCTATCAGGCGATAGTGGGGCACTCCTCGCGCAGGGTTATGAAATTGCACGTTAAGTGTGGGGCGGTCCTAGGCGTGTGCCCCGCGGGCGCCTTCCAGGGCCGCCCCCCGGGTAGGGGCATGCCCCGTGTGCGCCTTCTGCCGTCTCATGAACGTCAGTGCGCAAAGACTGTTGACCACGAGCGTAGAGAGCAGCAGAAGGGGCCAGAGGCAGCGGCAAAGCGCCGCCGCCATTTTGGCTCAAGACCGTCAGATCGTCGTCGTCGTGCTTCCCTACTGGGACCCGCACGCCTGGCGCCCCCCTGGAATCGCAGGTTAAGGGCCTTGCGTTCTATCGCACCGCATGCCACACAAGCGTTCTGCCGACAAGCAGCTCGAAGCTGCGGTGAAGAGTGCGCGGTACTTGGGCGCCAAACACGAGTCCAAGTGCCAGACCGCCCAAGCCATCCTGGAAGGGCGCCTGTCCGAGATCACCGTGGAGCAGGTCTTGGACGCCCTCAGGAGGCTCGAAGCGACCGCGCGGCAGGATGAACCTGTCCGGCCCCCCCTCCGCCCAGGCCTCGCCCAGCGAAGGCCCGACGGAGAACCAGCGCCTTCCTCTGCCAGCACATCCTCCCCAACACCTTCCTCTACCAGCACATCTTCCCCAGCGCGTCCCTCCACCGGGGCGCCCTCCTCGAGCTCCGCCGGGACCGCGCCCTAGCCTTCGGTTGCTCGACACGGCAGGGGCGCCCGCCTTGCAGGTCCCAGCCTTTGACTTTTCGGCTGCCGCTGAAAGCCGCCATGGCAACCCGAGCGTTGGCCAGTGCGCTGCGCGGTTGCGGAGGACAGTGGAGGCTGGAGACCCGGCCTGTCTCTTATCGGGGCCTGCCCATGACCATTTGGTTTCGGCCTTGGTCTCTGCTGGCGCGCGCCCTGACATCCCGATTTTTGGCGGGGAGGAAAGCCCCGGCGATTGATTACACATTTCGGACAAGTGCCCTGCGTGCGACAAGCGAATGGTGAAGCGGCCGGGCTCCGGATCAGATGCCATCATCTTGGACGAAGGCGGTCCCGTTTGTAAGACTCACGTCCCTTACCGCTGCAATTCGATGGACTGTCCAAAGCGCGGTTTGGTACATTGGCACAACTACTACGTGGACGCTGGACGACACATTTTCCAAAGGGACGTCGCGGCCATGAAGTGCATCATGCTTACCGCGAGTTTCGGGATCACAACAGAGTACCTGGAGGCTTTGCACGAGCGAATGCTGAGGGAACACGTATCCTTTGCCGGCGAAGCTGACGTGGCGCGCGCCCGTGCTGGTGGAACTGCGCTGCCAGCCGACTTGCGGAAGTACCTGTCAAAAGGCTGGTTCGTGTGGCGGTTGGCCAGGCGCGTCGGCGATTTGGGCCTGAGGACACCACTGTGCTCGACTTGATGCAACCACTTGAAGAGCAGATCGAGGCCACGCGGGACCAGCTCGAATTAACGTTCGAGCGTAGAACCGCAGAGAGGGCCCGAGCAGCAGGCATGAAGACCGATGTGGTTGTGGTGGATGGCAACGCCAAGAATCGCAGGCTGACGCGCGCAGCGCCTCTGCGCCACTGTGCGACGTGCCCGCGCTTAGTTCGGCGGGTGTGCGTGGGCTGCCCCCGGACGCCGCTGCTGGGCATTGCGTTTTGTGGAGAGCATGCCCTGCGAGTACCCGGCCGTGGACTACGAGGTGGTGGGGCACGAGGCGCCCGAGGCGGGGGGCATGGGTTTGGACGGCTTGTTGAAACTGTTGGTGCGTGAGCGCCGGGGCGAACTCAGGGAGCTGTGGGCGTCGGAATCGGCCGTGGACCCGGGCATCGTGAACGTCTACTTCCACGGTCTCGGGGAAGATCACAGAGCGGCCAACGCGGGCCGGCGGGGGGCAAAGGCCAGGTTGAGACGGGCGGCGGCCAGCGAGGTGCGTCGTCAACTCGACGCCGCGGCCCCTGCGTGGGATGCCCTCACGCCGGTGGAGCGGGAGCAGTTCCTTTCGGAGATGTCGTGCGAGGCCGACCTGAAGGCCGTGGCGTGCAACACCCACAAGGAGGACGACTCGCAGCAGGCGAAGTGCGCACGGACCGCCGGCGTACTATGCGCTGGCCTGTCCTCTGGTATCGTCGCGTCCATGCGGGAAGTGTTCGGCTGCGAATCCTTGAGCCAAAGGTATCTAATTGCTCGGCCCATCCCGCCACGATGCCTGCGGGGGCCTCTTGGACCGTCTTGGGCCGTCTCGGGGCCCTCTTGGGCCGTCTTGGGGCCTTCTTGCGGGCCTCTTGGGCCATATTGGGTGATCTTGGGGGCCTCTGGAATCGTACCTCGTAGAGCTCTTCGTCATCGATGAGCTAGAGGAATTCCGGCGCGGGGTGGAAGGATGTTGGTCGACCCGACCAGAAGAGACAATGTGACAACTTTGGGTCGGTTTGCTAAGATTTGAAAGATATTGGACAATTCATTAAGAAAGCAGAATTTTACGCCGAGCATTGGCATATAAACTTTGTTCCCTCAGCAGCTCAGCTCTCTAGAGCCAGTTCTAGTACCAGTCCACTCCCGCGAACCGACTTCATGTTGACTCCGAAAAATCTCAATTTCACGTTTGTTCTAAAAAAGCTCCCAGAAGCTCTCCGCTTCGATCCTGAGCTTTCTTACGGGAGCAGGGAGCTCTACGACTCTACGAGGTTCCCGGCGGTGACCAGGTTGACGGTTCACCGCCGGCGCCAGTTTTCGCGCGTAGGAAAATCGAGGGGCGACAAGGCCACGTGCAACAACAATAAGAGAAACGCAAAGTTATAACATATGGTTTCTCGGACCGTCTTCGGGGAAGCGGAGCCCGGAGCCCCCCGGAGCCCGGAGCCCGGACCCCGGAGGCCGGAGCCCGGAGCCCTGATCCAGGAGCCGGGGCCCCGGACCCCGGACCCCGGACCCCGGGCCCTGCACCCCCCTGCAGGTAGACGGCCCAAGGCAGGAGTGGACACTAATAACATGTCGAGCTTCCCGCTGAGGCGCCTTGCACACAGTATCTACAAATATCTATTCTTCAGGAATAGACGCTTTTCGAAATGATTGTGCTCCCGCCGAGGCGCCGTGCACACAGTATCAAAAAAAAAAATAAATAAATCCTGGGCAGTATCTAGAAACTGGAGCCGGCAGTGAACCGCCAACCTGGTCTGCGATGTCTGCGTTGGCCGATTCGAGCTCCCTGGAGAGCAGGCCGGGACACAGAGAACCTAAACAGCAAGGCTGCAAAGATTAAAGCAGAGATGCATTCAAACAGCGAAGCGGCACAGATATGCACAAGACTGCAAGTACACGAGAAAACAACTAACAAAAAAATGAGAGAAGCAGTACAGACCATAGATATGGAAGCAAAGCTAGAAGCAGTGAGAGACCATACAGTAACCACTGGTTTATACAGCGATTACCGTCTCAACACCACTGAGAAAAAAACACGAAAGTAAGAGAACTGAAATAGCGAATGCGCTTCAAAGCAATGCGAGACCATGCAGTAACCACATATAGCGATTACCGTCTCAGCACCACTGAAAGACAATGCACGTGAAACACAACGTCAAAATGTGGACTAGATAACGAATTAAGCGGGCAACATACAGAGTGAGCCAAGACACCCACCACTACTTAGAGCGAACGCGGGCTCTTATCCCAACAAAGTGGAGATCAGGCGAAGCTCTTATTCAACACACGCGCATGCACGACAACACACACAGGCATGAAGAAAGGCAACGCAATGACAAATCACAAGAGTTCGAACTCGAAGTATGTGGAAATCAAATGCAATGAAATCTGAACTTCACTCGAGGCGAAGTATGAAATCGGATGCCCAAAGACCTCAATATCAAGATACTCAAATGTCACAAAATTGTCAAAGTACCTCAATGTCAAAGAAACCACACGTGTACAAGAGCAATAATGAAACGAAAGAAACGATTCCAACCACCCCTCGAAGTTTCCCACTGCGTTGTGAATAAGAGTACTCAGACTGCGACCAAAGTCAAAATTGGATACGTGCTGAGAGCAACTCGTACAAGATAACAAGTGCGGCAAGTACAATCACAAGCGGCCTGGAAGTGCAAGCAGACAATGCAACAAGTACAAAACAAGCGGCCTGGAAGTACAGGATAACAAATGCAGCAAGTACGCTCAAAGCAAGCGGCCTATGCACCTGCTCCAATGGGAGCTGTCTCACTTGACACAACAGAGAACCTGGTGCCTATCGTCTGTAGGCCCACGGAGAGGAGGTCGTCGCAGCCGACGAAGTACCCGAAGATATGGGACGGCCCAGTGGCGTACGATACGTGTGTGTGCACAGCAACCTGGTCTGCGGTCTGCGGGGCCCGATTCGAGCCCCCTTAGGGGGCAGGGCCAGCGGTAGGATCACCTACAGGCAACCTAAGCACTAACAGCGGAGCTGTGCGATATACAAGTCAGCGTAGCTTTGCATATATGATACAACAGCGTAGCTGCACAGGAATATACACACATCAAGAAACAGTGGGGCTAAGCATGTATCTTACAACAGCGGAGCTATGCAGATATTATACACAAACAGTCACCTGCCAAGTTGTACGTGTATACACATCTCGGCAATGCCATTGAGAAGAGAATGTGCAGCTGCCAACTCAGCCTGTGTGATCGTGCAATGGCTAGGGATCATGAAACCTCTGCGGCCAACTCCAGGGTGCCATCCACCCTGCACAAGTCCAGGGGGAAGCTGGTGAGGAGGAAGAGAGGGAACAAGATAAACATCAATAACCCAGCCACACGAGGTGCCACGCTCACACCGCCCACCGTCAAAAGCTCCTCTAAGTGCACGAACAATATAATGACCCGTCTAATATGATAAAGAGTGTTATGATTCCAACGAACATCAGAAGTTACTTTACCCTCACGTGCAAGATGTGTCTCATAGTCCGCCTCATCGTTGCCCTCCCTATACACCCATTTCCACATATCCCTTCCCACTTCAGCCGTGACAAGATGATGGTCCTCACTCATTCTGTGGAGGCGGTTCTGCATACCCTTGATCGTGCGGCGGTATACTTCATTATGACAGCGATATCTTCCATTAAGCCAGCGCACAACACACTGGCTATCCCCACGGAGCTCCAAGCCATATCCACCCCCTTCCCCACGCCAAGTGGTTTCATCATCATTTATCGCGGCCAGTCGTTTCGCCACCCGTTCATTTTCCCGTCGTTGCTGCTCCTCAGACTTCTCCTCCCCCTCCTCCTCCTGCTTGAACTCACCCGTGAAGGGATCCCGAAGAAGGCAGAACTCGAGAAGATCATCCAAGTCCAGGGCGGCCAGGGTACCCACCAGGAAAGAACGCCAGCCAGTTTCATTCCAGACCATCGTGCGATCCCAATGAACCCCGCGCGTGTGCTCGAAGACCTCGAACCAAGGCCTGAGTCCCGTCAAGACTCGATGACGACAGGCTCTAGTAAACCTTCGGCCCCCAGGGAGAGCTCTAACATGTACGTCACGCTGCTCAGTCCACTCCCCCGACGCGTGCATCATCGTCAAGGCGCTCTGCATACTGGCAGTGGGCAATCCTCCTTCCTCCTCCCGTGCATAGGTATGGCGTACCCGCTTACGAACAGGCTCATGTACATGTTGTGAATCGTGATGCTCATATGCCGTGTTCTCCGATATACGTCTGCGAACTGATCTACTTTCCAAGGAAGATGCGCTCTGTGCCTTTCTCCTACACGAACTGTTGAGCTGTCTGGCATTCGGGGTAGGCGAGGGAACCGATAACTCCAAGAAACGCTGCGAACCACCAAAAATATCAGGATCTCGTGGCTCATGATAAAGAATGCCCTGACTGAGTGCGTCCTCATCCACCCGACTATGTTCCTCATGGATTGTGCTCACAACATGTTTGGCGAAGAGCCACTGGCGATGAAGGGCGAGCTGGACCATCGAAGGCTTACGGGCCCACTTCAATAAGCGACGGCCACCCTTAATCCTCCTGCCCCAGTACTCTCCCCAGGACTCCGTGATCTTCTTTTTGAGACGTCTCATGGTGGACAAGAAGTTGCCTTCAGCTGCATGTATCTGTTGGAGACTACTCGAATCCAGAGTCGTACCCTCCAAGCCGTACAGAAAGCAACTTCTGACCCTGCTATCATAACGCTGAAACTTACAACGAAGCGGAACCACGGGCGACGAGTAAAAAGAAATCTCACTCATGAAGACCCTCCGTGCCTTCTCCAGTCGGTGCTTAATGTCGTCATGATCCTGAAATCGTACATCCAATAGCGTGCCGAGAACCTCCATCCTCTCCACCTGCTTCACTATCATCTCCTCCGAAGGGCCTGCGGCGCTCTGGGAAGCCCCACGAGAACGCTTCCTACCCATCTCAGCAGGCAGGAGCCCCGGCACAGGCAGGCGGATATCCTGCAATGGACCTTGAACGCCACAAGCCAAGAACTCCATCGAAGATGCTTTCCAGTTGAAACCGAAGCGGTGGAGGACCCCAGTCAAGTCCTCAAGCATATGAGTCAGTTCTCGCCTGGAAGATGCTGCCAGCAAAATATTGTCTGCCCACAGCCAGTGGTTGACCAAGAGATTGGATGCCTCATCAGTGAGCCTGACGCCGTATCCAGACTGCCTCCAACCTGCCGTCACTGGTGCAAGCATACGAAGTGTCTGGGCAACAAACAGCAAAGGCGCCTCCAAGGAGCCTGTACGTATGCAAGTATCCCACGAGATGGTCGTAGAACACTGTTGGAAGCTGATCTCTGCCGTATTACAAGCATAACTCTCAAAGACAGCATACACAAGGGCAGGATGGACATGATGGAATAAAAGCGCCTCTGCTGCACATCTCACCGTGAAATTATCAAACGCCTTTTCAATGTCAGCACTTGCAAGATAAAGACTCTCCTCCTTCCCCCACACAACGCCGTGTTGAGCAAGACGTTTGAGGGGGGCCGTGACCTCATAACATTTGTGCCCCGCAATAAAGCCATATAAGTTGCAACCTGGCGGTGCAGCCTGCCGAACGCGGTGCTCTAGAAGTACACATAGACAACTGCTATACCA